CAGAGAGTCCCTGTTTAGAGAGGTTCAGTTTGTAGTATGGGATTAACCATCTGTGATAGATATTTTGGTGCCTAATGATTTCTGTCTCTCTCTCTTTAAATGGTGTGTTGTCATATTTTAATATCTCTTGATATAGTTTGGTGTAAAACCATGAAACAACATGGATTCTCAGGAATAAGCAGTTTCACACACTTTAACTCGTGTGGTTTTGTAAAAACACGTAGAAGCTGCAGCATGTACTAAATGTTAACAACAATGCTTAGGAAACAATCATGGAATATCTTTTTTTTTTTAAGGACATCATGGTCTGGAATTGCCAGTACTGTTAGGACATTTGGCTTTAGTGTTTAGTTTCAAAAGCTCTGATTCCTGAAACAAGAGGTTAATACAGCGTCCACTGTTATCAGAATTTTTTTTTATTAGTGTTTATTATGCAAACTTTTCAAAATATCAGATTGGACCTCCTGTGAAAAGGCTAAGCATATTGTGTGTGCGTGCGTGTCTGTGTGTGTGTGTGTGTGTGTGTATTACCATCATTGTATGTAATGAGTTTAAAATTTGTTCTGCAAAAGGCAGAATATTTATTTAGCTGTATTTTACTGAAATTCTGCAGATGCTCTGTGGGGTTTAAAAGTCAGCGCTGTGACCAGAAAGTGAACCCTTGTGATTACTACTGTCAGAATGAGGGAATTTGCACTTTAACTGCGTTTAATGAGCCGAGATGCAAGTAGGTTTAACCTTCCACTTAATGCTGCACATTGTGTGACATCATTTCAGGCCACAGTTCATTGGTTTAAATCATGCACATTCACATACATTTCACAACATATACTTTATCTGGGGACTCATTTATGTAATACACACTTAGCCCTTTTGATAGTCATACTGATGAGTGATTTAAAAAAAGACTGTTGGAGTATCTATTGTCATATTATTAGAAGATGAAATGACAGTAAAAAAATTATAAAAGTAGTATTTCAGCTTTTTGCTCATGAATGTAGGATCTAAGTTACTTTAATAAACAATGCATCTGCATCATAAAGTTTTGGGGTGAGGTGAATTGTGCACAGATTCATTATCTGCTGCTAGTCTAACTTGATATTAAATTTACAGAGTAATTAAACAAAGGCCACGTGGCTGCCATTTTAACAGTTGCACTTGTATTGGTAAATCTCTTTGTTAACTTAATCTGGAAATTAGGTTTAAAAAAGCATTAGCACAAATAATAAAGAATTAGAGAGCTCTCTTCTTAACTGTTTTCATCCTTTATTGACTCAATTTATAATTTGCCTTCATTTTTATATTACATTTCTCTCAAGCAATTTCAGACATGCTTGTTGAAAAGAAACTGCTAATTCTCATCAGGAAAGAAAGTTCGTCTGACTTGTACCTATTGAAAATAAATCCTGGCCGACATCCTCATTGATTCTACATACCAGAGTAAGCAGCACAGGGCTTCAGATAACTGTTCTGATGCAAGGATCAGAATTCAAATGAAAAGCCAATTACATATACTTCAATTTGATAAAATACAGAAACTCCAACAGATTTAACATATAGCCTCATCTAAATGCTTGGTGTATAACCACATGTTTTCAGTTATTAGTAAACACATAATATTGAGGTTTTGCTGGAATGTAGTGATTAGAATGAGGAATTATTCTTTCATTTTTTTGAGAATATACGCTTACAATTCCTTTCCCCCAATACTTCAAAGCAATAGAACGCTCTAGACCTTGAGCTACAGTAATTCTGTGGAAAATCAGATCAGTGTTCTGAATGAACATACAGTGAAGGCAATCTTCATGTGTGTCCATTAGTTGTCAATAACTGATTAATAAAATTCAAACAATTTGGATGGAACTATGTATCAATTTATGGAGGGTATGGTTGACTTAAATCTGTCTTTCTTATATTTTAATATAATAGTGCATCTCTCTCTGTCTTTAGTATTTAGAAAACTGCAGTTATATAATAGAAACACCCACTTATACTAACTTTTGAAAATGTGCTGTCAGTGGATTTTCTCCTTACTGTCTAAACTGGAGCACATCATGATATCTTTAGGAATTGTAAAAAAAAATCTGTATTTTGATATGTGAAATGGAAAGTTTAATAGAGAAATTGACAAGTCAGTCATTTATGAACTGTCTCCCACGATTTTTTAAAAAGTGTGTTAATTATGTAATTTGTAAGCCTGCACTTTTTCTCCAATGTACTTGATTGTTGCTAGCTTTGTTATAAAAGATTTTTTTTCAGGTGGGTGGGTAGAGTTAGATTTTTTTCTCTGCAGCTTTACCTTGATTTACCAAAATCAGAGATGATATTCTGATGTCATTGAAGTTAATAGCAAATTCCCACTGTCCTCAGTGGAATGAGAATTTCATTCCAGGAGAACTGAATTACTTAGTAACTTGTGGAGTAGCATAAATAGAGGTTTTATGTAACACACATTTGATGACAGCTCATTCCACATTTGGGGCAGATCCTCAGTGTGGTCCACCAATGCAAGCTGCTAAATTGTGGAGAATAAACTAGGATGGCATTAAACCATCTGTGAATTCATCCAATATTGGGGTCACTGGGGTAAGGTATAACAGACAAAAAGCTGCTCTGAATCCCAGCTGTACACAGTCTCAATGAGCCATTCTAGAAGCAGGGCATGACAGGACTACAGGGGCACAGAGACCCCTTCCCTTTCTCTGGTAGTGAAATACACTGATGGCCAGGAGGTGGTTGATACAGCAATTGCTATGAGTTAAAGCTCTGCACCACCAGAGGATCCCCATAAGCAGGAAGAATGCTCTGCTGCTCAGTTTGATTTGATTTTGCCTCCTTCTTGCATTGGTAGCCCGGTGCAAAACTGCAAAACGGTCACAGAATAGCAAAATGGTCACAGAAATCTAGGATCTTGTGTGTCTTTTTAGTTTTCTTTACTTTTGTGCTTTTCTGGGACTGGAAATAAAAATACCACAATTCTATAAGTAAGATGGTTTCACAATATTTTTTATCAACCATGAACTGAGCGAGCTAGATCTCTCAAGAATTTGAAGCCAAGTAATACTGAAAGACCAAACTAAACCTCTAAAACTGTAGTGTCCATCTTTCATTACCACATATAGAGTTACCAAAATGGTATTATACTAACATACCAAAATGATTAAAATATCTACAGTTCTTCAGCAATCTTACAGATTACGTACAGCATAAAATAATTGATAACAAAACACTGTCATGAATTACAAACATATCTTTGCATCTTGGAAATAAGTATTTTTTCGTTATTATGATAGGAATCTTATCTTCCTGTCACTAACCTTTTAAAAAAGCTGTCAGCCTGCAATTCACTATTGCTACTCATGGCAGGAACTCAGCTTGAACATCAAGGGAAAATACTAGAGATATTAAAATAATTTTTAAAAAGGTGCATCCTCATCTTCATCCTAATATACTATTAACAGGCCGTGCTTATGACAGTTACCAGGGACAGTCCAGACTTCTATGTGAATTCTGTGGTTATATTCCTTCCCCAATGAACTGGATCCTCGGTCTCCATGTTTCACCCTTCATCTATATAACCCAACTTTAAAGCTATATTTGGGGCACTAGCAGCTCAGTCCCATCAGAAACCTTCTCTTTGCTTCCTTCTCCCTGTCACTGTTATGCTGTGGTAGTGGAGTATCCCTATCCCAAGCCTCCCAACATTTCTAGTGACCAAAGTGGGAACCAATTCTACTTAGATTTGACCTATTTGCCTCTCCATAAATGGAAATAAAAGCCAGACATACCAAATTTGATTGGCATTCCAACATTACACATGAATTCACAATGTTAATGAAATTTGGTCCATCTGCCCCACCCTTTCCATCTATGAAGGCTCAGATGGGCCAAATCTGAGTAGTGCTTTAATGCCGCACACAGACCCCATCATGTTTTGGGGGCCTTTAACAGAGTTAGCACCCACTTCTTGCAAAAGCCCCCCCATAATTGGATGTACCAGCATTCTTTAATTCTGGTGATCACTTTTGATGATTCTCAGGTTCTTGGGGTTTTTTTCAGCATCTCAGCTCTGCAGACAATCCACATGCTGCCTTCACGTTAACCAGAACCCTTTTGGGAAATACAGTCCATTCGGGTTTCTAGTAGTATTCCTTTGGGACGGCGTCTCTCTATCACTCACTAGGGCTTTGATCTGTAAGACATCATTAGTATTCTTAGTGTCTGCTAGGGTAGCTTGTTGAGTTTCTCTGAACCCAGAGCTGACTTAGTCCTGGAATCATGAGAATGCTCTAAACAGATATTCTTTCCTCACCAAGCCAACATTGCTAGAGACAGAATGTATGTGGATTATGGTCAGCCAGGGGCTCCTATACAGCTCAGTGTTTGGACCTAATTGGGAGGTGTAGTCTGAGCTGTTTCTCATATCTTCCCTTCCAATTCTGCAGTACCCGTTCTTTGTTTGTTTGTTTGTTTGTTTGTTTTTGTTCTGGTGTATGTGTGTGTTTGCCCCTAATGGATTGTATATCTCTGATGACCACATTAGCTTTGCACTGGAGTTTTTCTTCCTGAAGTCCACAGAGCAAGGTCAGACAAAATGTGAGGCCCAGAACCCTTGGACATCAGGGTCATTGAGAATTAAATTTTAAAGCTAGAAGAGAGTGTTGTGGTTATCTACTGATCTCTACAACACAGGCCATAGACCCTCCCTGAATTAATTACCCACAAGACCACCTGTTTGAGAAGGCAGGGAGCAGAAAACTTGGCCCATTACTCAATAATTTATTTTTTTCTATCTGTGTTTGTTTTATTTTGATTAATTAAATAGATTGAAAAGTATTAGAATTTATAATGAATAAAGATGATCTGTTCTGCAAAAAATCTGTTTAAAAAGTTACTGCCTCAAGCTTGGCAGTCTTCATGAAATCTAATTAATCAGCAGTTGTGTTACCTCTCATAAAATGTATATTTTCTTCTGTAGATTGCATTCACTTGCAGCAATAATGATGTGGACAACCTTTTTTTATTATTATTTCAGCTGCACTAATGGAAAGATTGCTTCTAGCTGTCAGTTATGTGATGGCTACTGTTACAATGGTGGAGTGTGTCAACTGGACCCAGAGACAAACATACCTGTCTGTCTGTAAGTATCTTTGTGCGTATCAGTAGAACATTTGTGTGGCAGTAAATAATAAAGTTTCTGTTCATCTTCATTTCTGCTCTGTTCAGGTATTTATGATGTGTCACTCACAATGGTATCTTTATGTCTCCAGGTGTTACTCTTGTCTGTCACTTTGTTCTACTGCAAGTTGTTAAAATATTCTTTTTGTTCATTGTTTGGCATTGTTGATGATTTAGTAACTATTGTTTATTGCTCTTCAAATAGCTTTAACTAAGAATTAGCTAGCATCAAATCACAGCAAGAGAAAAAATTTACAATTGAATACTCAGAATAATTTAAGAGTGAGGAATGAGGAACTAAACTCAGAGAATTCAGATACCTAGTACAGGTTGGGCCTCCCTACTCTGGCACCCTAAGGACCTGACCCATTCCAGATGAGGGATTTTTGCTGTGCTGGGTGGCCCTGCCAAGCAGCCTTGCTGCTGGACTCTTGGCCACCCACTGCAGGGATTCTGTTCAGAGAGTCCCTGTTTAGAGAGGTTCAGTTTGTAGTATGGGATTAACCATCTGTGATAGATATTTTGGTGCCTAATGATTTCTGTCTGTCTCTCTTTAAATGGTGTGTTGTCATATTTTAATATCTCTTGATATAGTTTGGTGTAAAACCATGAAACAACATGGATTCTCAGGAATAAGCAGTTTCACACACTTTAACTCGTGTGGTTTTGTAAAAACACGTAGAAGCTGCAGCATGTACTAAATGTTAACAACAATGCTTAGGAAACAATCATGGAATATCTTTTTTTTTTTAAGGACATCATGGTCTGGAATTGCCAGTACTGTTAGGACATTTGGCTTTAGTGTTTAGTTTCAAAAGCTCTGATTCCTGAAACAAGAGGTTAATACAGCGTCCACTGTTATCAGAATTTTTTTTTATTAGTGTTTATTATGCAAACTTTTCAAAATATCAGATTGGACCTCCTGTGAAAAGGCTAAGCATATTGTGTGTGCGTGCGTGTCTGTGTGTGTGTGTGTGTGTGTGTATTACCATCATTGTATGTAATGAGTTTAAAATTTGTTCTGCAAAAGGCAGAATATTTATTTAGCTGTATTTTACTGAAATTCTGCAGATGCTCTGTGGGGTTTAAAAGTCAGCGCTGTGACCAGAAAGTGAACCCTTGTGATTACTACTGTCAGAATGAGGGAATTTGCACTTTAACTGCGTTTAATGAGCCGAGATGCAAGTAGGTTTAACCTTCCACTTAATGCTGCACATTGTGTGACATCATTTCAGGCCACAGTTCATTGGTTTAAATCATGCACATTCACATACATTTCACAACATATACTTTATCTGGGGACTCATTTATGTAATACACACTTAGCCCTTTTGATAGTCATACTGATGAGTGATTTAAAAAAAGACTGTTGGAGTATCTATTGTCATATTATTAGAAGATGAAATGACAGTAAAAAAATTATAAAAGTAGTATTTCAGCTTTTTGCTCATGAATGTAGGATCTAAGTTACTTTAATAAACAATGCATCTGCATCATAAAGTTTTGGGGTGAGGTGAATTGTGCACAGATTCATTATCTGCTGCTAGTCTAACTTGATATTAAATTTACAGAGTAATTAAACAAAGGCCACGTGGCTGCCATTTTAACAGTTGCACTTGTATTGGTAAATCTCTTTGTTAACTTAATCTGGAAATTAGGTTTAAAAAAGCATTAGCACAAATAATAAAGAATTAGAGAGCTCTCTTCTTAACTGTTTTCATCCTTTATTGACTCAATTTATAATTTGCCTTCATTTTTATATTACATTTCTCTCAAGCAATTTCAGACATGCTTGTTGAAAAGAAACTGCTAATTCTCATCAGGAAAGAAAGTTCGTCTGACTTGTACCTATTGAAAATAAATCCTGGCCGACATCCTCATTGATTCTACATACCAGAGTAAGCAGCACAGGGCTTCAGATAACTGTTCTGATGCAAGGATCAGAATTCAAATGAAAAGCCAATTACATATACTTCAATTTGATAAAATACAGAAACTCCAACAGATTTAACATATAGCCTCATCTAAATGCTTGGTGTATAACCACATGTTTTCAGTTATTAGTAAACACATAATATTGAGGTTTTGCTGGAATGTAGTGATTAGAATGAGGAATTATTCTTTCATTTTTTTGAGAATATACGCTTACAATTCCTTTCCCCCAATACTTCAAAGCAATAGAACGCTCTAGACCTTGAGCTACAGTAATTCTGTGGAAAATCAGATCAGTGTTCTGAATGAACATACAGTGAAGGCAATCTTCATGTGTGTCCATTAGTTGTCAATAACTGATTAATAAAATTCAAACAATTTGGATGGAACTATGTATCAATTTATGGAGGGTATGGTTGACTTAAATCTGTCTTTCTTATATTTTAATATAATAGTGCATCTCTCTCTGTCTTTAGTATTTAGAAAACTGCAGTTATATAATAGAAACACCCACTTATACTAACTTTTGAAAATGTGCTGTCAGTGGATTTTCTCCTTACTGTCTAAACTGGAGCACATCATGATATCTTTAGGAATTGTAAAAAAAAATCTGTATTTTGATATGTGAAATGGAAAGTTTAATAGAGAAATTGACAAGTCAGTCATTTATGAACTGTCTCCCACGATTTTTTAAAAAGTGTGTTAATTATGTAATTTGTAAGCCTGCACTTTTTCTCCAATGTACTTGATTGTTGCTAGCTTTGTTATAAAAGATTTTTTTTCAGGTGGGTGGGTAGAGTTAGATTTTTTTCTCTGCAGCTTTACCTTGATTTACCAAAATCAGAGATGATATTCTGATGTCATTGAAGTTAATAGCAAATTCCCACTGTCCTCAGTGGAATGAGAATTTCATTCCAGGAGAACTGAATTACTTAGTAACTTGTGGAGTAGCATAAATAGAGGTTTTATGTAACACACATTTGATGACAGCTCATTCCACATTTGGGGCAGATCCTCAGTGTGGTCCACCAATGCAAGCTGCTAAATTGTGGAGAATAAACTAGGATGGCATTAAACCATCTGTGAATTCATCCAATATTGGGGTCACTGGGGTAAGGTATAACAGACAAAAAGCTGCTCTGAATCCCAGCTGTACACAGTCTCAATGAGCCATTCTAGAAGCAGGGCATGACAGGACTACAGGGGCACAGAGACCCCTTCCCTTTCTCTGGTAGTGAAATACACTGATGGCCAGGAGGTGGTTGATACAGCAATTGCTATGAGTTAAAGCTCTGCACCACCAGAGGATCCCCATAAGCAGGAAGAATGCTCTGCTGCTCAGTTTGATTTGATTTTGCCTCCTTCTTGCATTGGTAGCCCGGTGCAAAACTGCAAAACGGTCACAGAATAGCAAAATGGTCACAGAAATCTAGGATCTTGTGTGTCTTTTTAGTTTTCTTTACTTTTGTGCTTTTCTGGGACTGGAAATAAAAATACCACAATTCTATAAGTAAGATGGTTTCACAATATTTTTTATCAACCATGAACTGAGCGAGCTAGATCTCTCAAGAATTTGAAGCCAAGTAATACTGAAAGACCAAACTAAACCTCTAAAACTGTAGTGTCCATCTTTCATTACCACATATAGAGTTACCAAAATGGTATTATACTAACATACCAAAATGATTAAAATATCTACAGTTCTTCAGCAATCTTACAGATTACGTACAGCATAAAATAATTGATAACAAAACACTGTCATGAATTACAAACATATCTTTGCATCTTGGAAATAAGTATTTTTTCGTTATTATGATAGGAATCTTATCTTCCTGTCACTAACCTTTTAAAAAAGCTGTCAGCCTGCAATTCACTATTGCTACTCATGGCAGGAACTCAGCTTGAACATCAAGGGAAAATACTAGAGATATTAAAATAATTTTTAAAAAGGTGCATCCTCATCTTCATCCTAATATACTATTAACAGGCCGTGCTTATGACAGTTACCAGGGACAGTCCAGACTTCTATGTGAATTCTGTGGTTATATTCCTTCCCCAATGAACTGGATCCTCGGTCTCCATGTTTCACCCTTCATCTATATAACCCAACTTTAAAGCTATATTTGGGGCACTAGCAGCTCAGTCCCATCAGAAACCTTCTCTTTGCTTCCTTCTCCCTGTCACTGTTATGCTGTGGTAGTGGAGTATCCCTATCCCAAGCCTCCCAACATTTCTAGTGACCAAAGTGGGAACCAATTCTACTTAGATTTGACCTATTTGCCTCTCCATAAATGGAAATAAAAGCCAGACATACCAAATTTGATTGGCATTCCAACATTACACATGAATTCACAATGTTAATGAAATTTGGTCCATCTGCCCCACCCTTTCCATCTATGAAGGCTCAGATGGGCCAAATCTGAGTAGTGCTTTAATGCCGCACACAGACCCCATCATGTTTTGGGGGCCTTTAACAGAGTTAGCACCCACTTCTTGCAAAAGCCCCCCCATAATTGGATGTACCAGCATTCTTTAATTCTGGTGATCACTTTTGATGATTCTCAGGTTCTTGGGGTTTTTTTCAGCATCTCAGCTCTGCAGACAATCCACATGCTGCCTTCACGTTAACCAGAACCCTTTTGGGAAATACAGTCCATTCGGGTTTCTAGTAGTATTCCTTTGGGACGGCGTCTCTCTATCACTCACTAGGGCTTTGATCTGTAAGACATCATTAGTATTCTTAGTGTCTGCTAGGGTAGCTTGTTGAGTTTCTCTGAACCCAGAGCTGACTTAGTCCTGGAATCATGAGAATGCTCTAAACAGATATTCTTTCCTCACCAAGCCAACATTGCTAGAGACAGAATGTATGTGGATTATGGTCAGCCAGGGGCTCCTATACAGCTCAGTGTTTGGACCTAATTGGGAGGTGTAGTCTGAGCTGTTTCTCATATCTTCCCTTCCAATTCTGCAGTACCCGTTCTTTGTTTGTTTGTTTGTTTGTTTGTTTTTGTTCTGGTGTATGTGTGTGTTTGCCCCTAATGGATTGTATATCTCTGATGACCACATTAGCTTTGCACTGGAGTTTTTCTTCCTGAAGTCCACAGAGCAAGGTCAGACAAAATGTGAGGCCCAGAACCCTTGGACATCAGGGTCATTGAGAATTAAATTTTAAAGCTAGAAGAGAGTGTTGTGGTTATCTACTGATCTCTACAACACAGGCCATAGACCCTCCCTGAATTAATTACCCACAAGACCACCTGTTTGAGAAGGCAGGGAGCAGAAAACTTGGCCCATTACTCAATAATTTATTTTTTTCTATCTGTGTTGGGAAAGAATAAATATCACCCTATCAGCACACAACTGTCAAAAATACCCTGATACTCTAGATATGATAGACTCTCCCCTCCCCCCTCATAATAATGCCTAGTAGGTGAGACCTCCCCGCTCCACGTACTTGGGTTAGGCTATCGCATAGAAGGGGACAAGGATGATGGGATTCAATAAAGAGTAATGAAGGGCTTATTTTGCCCTGTGCAAGGCAATTTAAAGATAGTTATCGGACACAAAAACTCACCATCCTAATGATTCTGTTTTTCTCAAAGATGGCCCTGGATCTCAGCATTAAACTGTGTTAGAAAAGCGGAGTTCTTCAAATTCTTGATCAATCACCCAAAAGGTATCCAGATTCCTAAGAGTAGCCAGTCACATCCATTTTTCTGTCAAATGACCTAGTCCATCATGAAATAAAGTCTCACATCTCACCTTTTTTAACCAATTAAGCCATGTTTCCTAATAGCCAACAAATCACTCACAATTGTCCCTTTAATGGCTCCTCTAAGGATATAGAACCGTACTGCATCTTCCATGATGACAAAGTAATTCTACATACTCCAGAATCCTTTCAAACAAATGCAAACACATTTCTTAGGCAAGAGTTCTACATTTCCTGTGTTCAAAAGGCTGTGACTCAAACATAGGCAAGTAATGAAAATATATCTAAAAATGCACCGACTCCTTTAGAAATCATGCTGTACATTTTTCTCTTTTTAGACTAAATACCACAGGGAAAGAAGACCCAACATTTTAATATTAAACTGATGAATAAGGAGGCTTATTTAGCATCAAGTAAACTAGTTCATGAAGGGATCAAAATCCATTGGTAAAGGGCCATGGAGTTAACATAAGACACATGAACATAAGCAACCACAGAAGAGGGAATATGCAAGATTTTTACCTGATTCACCATCAGTGCT